GTGGGCCAAGGCGTGGCGTGCCGATGAGGTATTTGCGCAGTGGAGTAGATGCGATTGAACGGGGTTTGGGCGGGAGGTAGGAGTCAAGGTGGATGAGGCTGAAGACGCTGTAGACGTATAAAGAGGTCTTCCAACTGCTCTCAAGTTACACATCCATTGCAACAATATTGGATACTTCTCAGACTCCGGAGCATAGCCTGATATACCGATCATTCATCAGTCGTTAAGATGAGGTTCAGTTCCGCCATCGCTCTTGCGGCCCTCACGCTGTTCAACACCGTTCGCGGTGACGGTACGATTGTCCTGTAAGACAAATCTTCCAGAAACTAACATGCCTCAGCTGTACCATGGGAGCGCATCGACAAGGACAAGGCGGTGAGTCTTCTTCATACTCTCCAACCCCATATCCCTATCTAACGTCCCACGTAGCTCCTCCTCATTCTCGACTTACAAGTCGGCCTCTTCCAGCTAGCCAGAGACTGGGACCCAACCCTCTACAAGCAAAACATCCTGGCGCACGCCGAACTTGGGAAAGTTTTCGACATACCTGTAATTTTGAGCACGTCTGCGGACCAAGGACCCAATGGACCGTTGCCGAAGGAGATGCTGGAGATGTATCCTGATGCGCCGCTTATCCGGCGTCAGGGCGAGGTCAGGTAAGTCGTCTTCCTCATCATGATCACTATACCTCGTGTCAACATATCACAATGCCCACTTCTTAGCAACCACCTCTCCTAACACATCCCCAGCGCCTGGGACAACGAAGCCTTCCGCGCCGCCATCCGCGCAACAAACCGCACGCAAATCATCGTCGGCGGCATCACAACCGACGTCTGCACCACCTTCCTCGCCCTCGCCCTGCGCTCAGAAGGCTACTCCGTCTTCGCCAACGTCGAAGCCAGCGGCACCTACACGCAGCTCGTGCGCGACACGGCAAACGCGCGCATGCAGGCCGCGGGTGTGCAGCTCGTTTCTCTCTTCTCCATTGTATGCGATCTGATGCGGGATTGGCGCAATACGCCCGGTGCGAAAGAGCTGCTGCCGTACTTGGACAAGTATTTGCCAGTTTATGGGGCGGTGGCGAGGGGACATGCGGCGGCCGTGGAGAATGGGACGGTTATTCCGGGGGAGATTGAGCTTATCACGGGGGAGAATGGGACGATTCTGCTGTAGAGGGTTGGGAGGGGTGAGGCGGTTGACGATGCGCGGGAAGGCGGAAGATACTGGTAGGTAGCGAGTAGGAGGATTGGACGGAGAGGCACATGATGGCTGGTGGAGGGGACTGCGTGCAATGTCGATAGCAATGTCAACTGCGTAAGAGCGAATGAAGTTACTGCACTTTGATCGTGTGGATGCTCATGACGCTCTGGTGGGTCAACATTGATACGGCAGCTCTTGGCGAGACCAAGGGCAAGCCGACGCGAAGCCACCTCGGCATCTGCGAGGTCATCCGTCACTGTATTCCTTAACACCAAGAGACATGACCACACATGCCAAATCCATGGAACTCACCGCCGCGTCGCCGTCGATCGCGGCATGCTTTATGATGCGAGCAATCCGGAGCCTGAAGACAACCTGCCTGAAATCCCACACGCCGTACACCCGCTGCCTCCAGATCCTACAACAGGACCTTCGAGTTATGCATTCCAGATAAGCACATGAGACAAGGGTTATATGGATAAGAATTCTCAATAACCAATCCTAATCAGGACCAGACCGCAGTCTGAGTCAAAGGCGTACTTTACTGATTCTGAAGGATACTTCGCAGAGCAAGCAATCCAAGGTAGGAACGATATGGCTTGCGAGAGGCCTTTGACGTGCTTCCTGGCTTGGTATATATCGGTCTTGCCTAATCCAAAAATGGAGTCAACCTCGACCGAAGCACAGTACTCGCTGCCTCGAAGGTGTCTAAGCGGTCGCTGTCTGCACCCTTGTGCTTGCACTTACCTTCGCTCCACGTATAGCTCTCTTGACACCATCAAAAGACGCCCCCGATCCTTACCACGAACAGCCATCGCTATCATTCCATCCATCATTTACCTGTAAACGCCAATCATGTCCCTCTCCAGAAACCACTCATTCCCACCGGTAATCAGTGTACGGCATGATGCGACCGAGTACATACCAGATTTACCTCCCTCGCTCGCTGTATGGCTCATGCTACGTACCAAGAACGTCAGCAAAATCGGTTTAGCGGGATTCGACAAACGCTGCATAGTCTGCGAGCAGTTTGTGTGCAATTTCTGGACCGAAGCATGCGACCACAGAGTGAGGTGGCTCACGAAAGAAGCGGCGAAAGAAGAATTGGCAATGTTGACACCGCAGCCCTATTTCCGACGACGGCTTTCAGAAGACTTCGTCGAACGATCCGTTCTTGCACAGCAGCGCCCAAGCCTCCCACTGTCAACGAAGTGTCTATCAAATAACCCAGATGTATCGAGTATAAGCGCGCAGCTTGCACAACCCCATACCTTCGTTTCTTCCCAAACCCGTAACACAACGGAAGGCATACCACCGAGATATTGCAGATGGGAAAAAACCGGTGTACACACATGCGCTAGTCCCACTGGCAGCTGTAAAATCGCAGTCAAGATCCTCACGCGCGGATGTCGGCATGTCATTGGTCAAGACTGTCTCTATCGATGGATCATAGCAGGAAAGAACTGGTGCCGGTTTTGCGGTGTGGTTTGGTTCAAGGAAGAGAAGTCTAAGATCACGAGAATGGCGCTATTAAAAGAGTGTTTTCGGGGTAGGGCGGATTATGTCGAGCACTTGGGCGCCATATGTGGGAAAGAAGAGTTCCAACAACTTGCGACACAATGTGGAACCGTGGGAGAGGGCGAGTGGAAAGGTATCCTTACTAGAGAGCTGGAGCGGATAATACTGGGGCAGTGTGGACTCCAGAAAGATGTGGACTCTATGAGAAAAGAGATACTGAGGATGGATCCGAGCTTTGTGGATACTTGGGATGAGCTGAAAGAGGACCTTGAGAAACAGTGCTGCAGCGACGCGATAGCACCTTGGACCGTCAATGAGAACTCAACGGCACCGTGGGACCCATACCAAAATCCGAGCGCGCGCAAAGGAATCCATATTCCTCATCACAAATGTCGTTAGACCCTTCCAGCGACAGCTGCCAGTCTGAGCATTTACCGCGATACCACGTTCTCATAGAGACAATCGTTCCGTCGCTAAGACACTCAAGAATCTGACCATTTTCACTCTCATGACTCCACTTCTTCCGTGATCCTCGTTCAAGAGACATCCAACATGGAATTCAGCGACATGATATCAACCGCGGTTATACAGACCCACCATTGTGAAACGGCACATGCAGCAACCCTGATCTCTATCACTCACAAGCTTTCCGCGGCATTTCTTAGCACATGGAGATCCGTTTCGGAAGCTCAAGCCAGGCGTTTCGTGAGAAAAAGGTAATTCACAACTCCAACTGTTTGGCCTTCCGCCCCGCTGTCGCGCAAGAGTTGCTGTATGCTTAAGTAGCGGCGCGCGGAGGGAACGCCGTGTTCGATAGTCCACGGTATCTGACATGACAGCTGAGACTCTCAAACTCTAGACAAACAGCTGTACGAGCAACACAAACGCGACCGGAAGGTGAGTCGGTGTCTCCGTACCACCTCACGAAACTGTCCGGTCCAGAGCCCTCCAGAGCGCTCGCGCTCTCACTTACCAAGACCAGAAAGGACCCGCGTACTATACGATGTATTGCCAGTACCTGCTTGGCGACGAGAAAAAGAAAGAATATTAATAGCTCAAGCCGTGGGGAAGGACCGAGAGATGTTTATCGTCGTTCTAGCTCTAGCCTCAGGTACGACTCGGAAGGATGCCGAGGAGAGAAGGAAAAATAGATGTGCTATGGCTGGAAGAGGGTTGGTGTACTGGATGTGGACGTCCGTGTGTCGAGAGTAACGTTTCGCAGTCCGTTTTCGAGGGTGGAGCCCCCTGTCTGTGAGTGCGGTACCCGGAGTGAGGTCCGCACCATGACAGAGGACGGAAGTTGCAAACGAGTGAAGTCATCGCTGGAGTGCGCAAGACGATCAGAAACTGAGATGAACACCATCTCTAGCATCATCCATCGAACGAAGGAAAAGTGACGATGCTTGAATCTGTGGGGACGCCGCTAGCCATAACGCGGTTCCCAGCTGCGCCTCCAGCAACCAATGCACCAATGACCTTTGCAATCTAACCCACACTTTCCACCAAACACTAACCTCCCATCAGCTCACCCATCTTATCTTAATGTGCTCACAGACAACCCGCCGTTCACCTACTGCACACACGAGCGCTCATCTCGGCTAAAGCTACAGCAAAAAGGCGCAGCGCAGCGCGCACCCCGGCGTGACCGCTGACTCTAGAACCCGGTCTCTGCTTCCCGCTTAGACCCCGGCGAGATGCTACTGTGCGAAACGGCCGGCTGTGGTGTGGGCGTAGCTGATACAACAGCTGCGCTGAACACAGAATGGGCAGAGGCGGGGGATAATTTTCGCATATAGACTGGGCTGCTGCTGCGCGCATTCGGGATTTCACCTGTTCACCATTCCGAGTAATCTAATCATCAATCCCATCGACGGTTCGCTATCGCATAGCATTGCATAGCATCATCATCCTTCATAAGCACCACCAACACCACACTCCCCTACCCATCTACCACCTTATCTCCATCAGCCCATTACATCAGGCCGCCAGATTACCACCCAACTTGACGCACCAGCAATTCCACTGCTTATCATCAACCACATCGCTTACTTAGGTGTCAAGGCCCAGTCCTTGGTAGGTATGTCATCTTGGAAAAAGTACGCCCGAAAACATCACTAACGGACCGACCAGCAAGGGAATCCCAACCGCTGCGCCTCTTCCCCTCACCTTGGTACAGACGTAACATCGCGTGGCTTTGTTAACACCAAGAGAAAACTACACTTATAATCGTGTCTCTCTTCTCTACGGAGAAACGACACCATAATCACCACCCACACACGACCATGTTGGCCAAAATCTCTACGTCGCTCGTTGCGACTCTGCTGCTCTCATCGAATACTCTCGCTGCGCCTACACAAACACATTGCCGCTGCGAAATCGTTGCTGATATGCCGTCATCATCCGTTCCCGCTTCTGCTGCCTACACACCCTCCGCCGCACATTGGTCGCCAGCAGACCCTTCGCAAAGTCCTGTCGCAGCACTCAATGTATGCGCAAGCCTAGGATCGGAATTACAGAAACTGCAACACACAGAGCCGGAGCTGTACGACTCGTATATGGCGGGTGCTATCAAGGATGCGCCGCAGAAGCCGGTACCGACTGCGGTGCTGATGAACAGTCACGAGGAGGCACAGTCAACGTCAAGCCCACATAGGAGAATTGTGTGTCATGCGGAATCGATATTGTCGACGCCAGAGTTCCACAGCTCGTTCATTGGGCTGTGGGCGCTGCAGATGATTGTTGTGGTTGCGATATTGGCTTGTGTTGCTGAGGGTTTGCATTTGGGTAAACAATGGTAAGACAACTTGACTTCTCTTGACTATTTCTTATATACTAACGCTCTTTCTAGGATGAAAAACAACAGCTCTCCTGAGCCAGTATCCGAAAAGAGCAGCCTGCGCTTGACCGGTGCAGAAAGGCGTCTCCTGGCCATCCCCACTGGTCCCCAGGAAGCAGATTCAGTGTTCAGCCCAGGCGCAGAGAAGAAGCTACGAGCGTACGAGACGACACGATACTTTGTCACGCAGGCATCAAGTGGACGGAGAGAGTTCATTGCGTATGACGATGATAGTGATGATGAGGCGAACAGGCCTGTGATGTAGTGTTACCCACATCACGGCTTTGATTGAATGAATGTATTATGTTCCACCTTCCACTACCTGTCCACCGTGCATGCATGTTCCAGCGATGCGAAGGCGTCGTGGTAGTGTGGTTCGGTGCTACAACATTTCGTCCAAGCGAACAACAGCGCCTTATCTTTCCCCGCATGTCATGGGGTTTCACCCACCATGACACTTGCGCAAACCAAGGTTGGGCCTACAACATGCCCGGCACCTCGTGGTTTTACCCACGAGTACAAATGACAGTGTCTGGGACACAGAACGCCGGTGTCTTTTCCCCATCGTCCCTCCTTCCTCTTTCGTCCCTGCCACCACCCACCACGAAGGTATCGTACAACAAAGCTCGCGATGAAACATCGCAAAACAAAAAGAGCAAACGCTCAACAGAACAGTAAAGCAAATGGGTATCGCGAAGCAAGAACAAGAACGCTAAAGCAAGCAGTCTACATACAAGTCACCCGAACGATGCATCGATCCAATCGTGGCAGGGTGCAAACGGTCGAGCCAGGTAGTGGGCGCAAGGATGCATGGCCGCAGTGGACGAAAGTGTCGCGATCGGGAAACACATGGAAGCATCCACTCATACCTACCTGAAAGGGAAGAAAATAATATACAAACAGCGGGGGTATCGCAGGGGTAAAAGAGGAATTAGTTGTTGCTTGGTAAAGGTATTGTCGCATGGAAGATTAGGTGTCGCTCGGGTTGTCGCTATGGGCATCTCGATAGATGTCATTATTAGGCGGAACTGGGTCCTGGTATGGGTCCAGATATCGGTACAAGTCATCGTGACAGGTCATCGCAGTGGGCTGATCGCAGCTGGGGGTATCGTAATGGGACAAGGTCGCAGAAGGGGATGTGGTCGTTGGCAGAGCATTCCAGATGGATGCCAGTATTAAGGGTTGGTTTATCGCAGTAGGCAATGGGATGGTCGCTAGGGTATCGCGCGGGGTATCGTAGTCGTATTATGGTAGTGTCGCGGTAGGCCAGGGGGTCCACATTTCACATCACCGGGATGCTGAGAACCGAGGAGTCTAGGTGGAAGCCGTACATTAGAGTTCGTATCGAGGACAGTACTGTGGATACAGTCGTACAGGGGAGGACCAGAACATGGTCTCCAGGAATGGCGCGCTAATAAGAAATAGGAACAGGATGTCGAACGCCGTAGAGAAATGCCGTATCCAGGAAAAGCGCTAATGTCATGTCGTAAATGTATCGTAGAAAGGACAGAGTTTTGGTTGAGGGGAGCCGCGAGGTTCCGCCCCATGGTCGGTAGAGGTTGACAAGGTTGGCTCACATGATGGTGTGGTAACCCTTATCGTTCATGACGTCAATCCAGAACGCGTCTTGGCCCTCGTCAGACTGGCGCCAGGTCTCCTTGATGAGCTGGATCATCTTGCGAAGAGGCTTGTTGGGAAGCCTAAGAGCGAACTCTTGCAAGCGCCTGATGACAAACTCACGAGCGGCAACGACCTCTGCGTCATTGGCCTGCACGTCGAAGAAGTCAATCGAAGAGACGAACTTCAACTCAGAGGCACACACAACAAGCAGGAGCGGCTGGATGCAGAATGTACCAGACGAGGAAGGCAGAGACTCGAGTGACCGGATGATGTGCATGGCAAGTGAGTTGAGCCACAGCTTGATGTCGGTAGCCTCGTAGACTGTCTCGAATCGTGGCGTAGGGAAGGCGAACTCGATGTTCTCGCTACCCTTGGTCTTGCCAGATCCCAAGCGCTTGCGTAGGATGGAGGGGAAGACCCGGTAGATCTCCAGCAAGCCAGACAGACGGTAGGCCTCGGCGATGGTGACGAAGTGTTCCTTGGGGGTACGCTCATCACCAGTGTCAATGACCTGATCGACTGATGGGTAGTCAACAGCTAGGAGGTCCTCTTCCAATGAGGCGGCGTTCTGAAGGTTCTCTTGTCGTCGGCGGAGGTCCATCGAGTTCTCACGGTCCATCGAACGCTCCTTGCGAACTAAACGACCGACCTCGGCGAACAGGAAGTGGATCATTGGAGCGATGCCTGTCCAGGGATGAGGGACAGTCTTTCCTTGCGGCCCACGCGCAGCAGGAGTGTTCGTCCTGGCGGTGATGCTAGGTCGCAGTCCTGACTTGGGCGAGAAGCTCATGGCATCTTCTGTTACGAAGCCCATGAGCATCTCCCAGTGGATCAAAGACTCCTCAAAGAACTGTGCCTCGCGCTCGACCTCAATGCCGCCCGACCTACTGAAAAGCTTGGGGAGGATGAGGTCTCGCGCGATAGACAAGTACTCGAGTCCGAGCGCGTTGCTGTCGTGCCATGAGGTGGTGAGACCAAGTAGCATGATGCTCAAGAACGTCTTGGTTGCGCTTGTGTGATCCCTCTGAGCAAGTGGAAGCTCCAGCTCCAGTGCCTCGCGCGCCTTGCGCTGTAGCTCAAGGCCGGTTGCCGCCATGTTGGGGAATGTGTTGGCAAGATGCGCGGCAGCCATGGATTGGATCGCGTAATTAATGGAAGGGCAGTCCTTGTAGATGCGGCCAATGGTAGTCCGGAAGGGGTTAAGAACAGAATCGAAAGAAGAAAACACAGCGCAGACGTCCTTGAAGTAATGCTGGACGAGCAGTGACTCGACATCATCCGGAGAGGATGGGTCTGGAGAAGGACTTGGAAGACGATACAAGTCAAGAAGCAGCGAACGCGAGAGCCTGGGGCTAGACTCTCGGTTCTGTTCCCGGTCCATGACAGGTAACGAAGTAGAACTCATGTCTTGCTTCTGTGAAAGGTCTTGCATGTCGAACTGAAGGTCCTCCAATGATCCAGAGTCGAAGTCGATGTTGTCGAATGGATCAAAGCTGAAGTCTTCGTTGGGCATTTGGATAGCGTCAGCGAAGCCATCAAGCATGATGGGGTCCATGTTGTTGACATTCTCCATGGGGAAAGGCTCGTACTCGCGAGGGGAATCACCATCCTCGGTAGACGACTCCTGTATCGAGGCTGGTTCCTCAAAGCTTGGTGGGGATGGGACTGCTGATGAGGCCTGTGTTGTCAAGGGTTGTTGTGTGGGAGGGGAGTTCTTCCTGCCTGCAGGGAGGACGGCAGCCAACGCAGCCTCGATACCACTGGCGACGTTCTGAGGAAGGGGCGACTTCGCTGCCGGTGAAGTGGTAGAGGTGGCGTCGGGTGTTGACCTGGGTCTAGGGGACGCCGACTTGGACTGGGCGGGGTTGAAGACTTCGTACTTTGTCGACCATTTCAGAGTCTTCTCGTAGCCAGGGCACGCGACGTTCCTTTTCTTGCACTGCAAGCAACCAGGAGCGGTCTCGTCACATTTGAGCTTTGTTTTTGTCAGCAAGTGGGCCAGTGCAGTAGGCGCAATCGTTGGACTTTACCCTCTTGAGCTTGCATCGACCGCATCCGTTCCTGGACTTGGTCTTCTTAGCCTTCAGATCTCTCGCCAAAACCTTGTCTTGAGCCAATGCGGGCATCTTGAGTATCAGGGTAGGGTAGACTTGGTTGGGGGGGCGAGGTCTGGGAATGTCGAACGACAATGGGGTGAGAATCCCGGTGCGAAGTAATAGGACTTAAGATGCGGATCCAGTGAATGCGGATGCGACGCTTCAAATGCGCGTGACGGGTCAGTGACACAGCCGATGGTTCCCTTCGCCTATCATTAGACCGGTGTGGGCCAAGATAGCAGCTGATAAAAACATGTCGCTGGTGTGGTTGATGCAGGGTGTCTGAGCCTGGATGCCGAGCTTCGGCCTTTCAACAACCCAGCTTTCCCCGAAGTATCCATATCGTGCATCAGCGTGCGGCTGATTGGCCAGCCACCGCAGACGAGCGTCGCATTTTCGCTCTTTAAACCCCTCTATGGGAGGACGCCCGCTCAGCGGAAAAGTTGGACACGCGATTGATAGATTATCCGCGTCGTCTGAAACTATCATCAGTGGCGGGCTCGTAAAGAAGGTTATAGCCAAAAAAGCATCATGAGGATGTTGAGAGTCTGGAGATAAGGCAGATCAACGGCTACCCCACAATCATCCAGAAGTGGGATGAAAGAAGTGGATTTGATAACTATGTATAGTTAGCGCAAGACCTTAGTGCCGCTAGCAGCATCATCTTGCTTCACGATAACCTCAGCCCAAGATAAAGCCACGTCTGCACGCATGCCCCATGACGATGTCGGAGCGTCAACCAACGCAGCGTCCAGGCCTGCTCATATCAGCGCATGCAGTTATCGGCATGACTATCTAGACATCCGACTCTGAGCGACCGCCTCGAACGAAGCGACCTATCACATGAGCTTCGCAAGGTCCTCGTAACACGGTATAAGCCATGAAGACATAGAAACCGTTATCTTCTACGAGGCGGCTCTGCTTCGATCGGCAGTTACCAAAGGCGCTACTGCACTGCTTGTCGAGCTCTGCCCTTGCTAAGCAGTGCCATGCCACCGGGCCTGGTCAAGCAATTGGCTGTCGCTAGTGGCATCGAGACGAGGCACACGTCGAACTTCCGTAGAGGCTGGATGCCAACATCCTTCCAGCGCATGGCTACCCCGCAAAGTCAATACGAGAGACGTAAGAACAACAACCGTGTCACCGCTGAAATTCTGGGGTAAGAATCCGGGGCCGATGCATCCAAAAGTGCGCGATGTGTAATGCCAAGCTCAGGACCGCGACTTCACATCTGGGGAAACGCTGAGCTAGGAGAAGATACGATGTCGGAGATGCACGCAGTGGGTGGACCGTTCACCGACAGGCGACAGGGCCTATCCCGACGGAAAATTCTTCACGAACACCACAACCATCGGAAAGTTCAACGGCTGCTGTTTTCCGCCACCCACACGACTCCACATTGCGAATGCGAACGACAGCACGGAATGTAATCCGAACACAGTTTCGATAGAATGCGATAAGCCTAGATTGCCACTACTGCGCGTCTACTGTACGACATCGATGAGTTTAATCGTGGTGGCTCAACCTTGACTGCTGTCAGAGAATGTCA